TAAAAACATGTCAAGAGTAGAAAACAATAGTAAAAACATGTCAAGAGTAGAAAACAATAGTAAAAACATGTCAAGAGTAGAAAACAATAGTAAAAACATGCCAAGAGTAGAAAACAATAGTAAAAACATGTCAAGAGTAGAAAACAATAGTAAAAACAAGAGTTCAATTTTATCATTTTCATACAAGTGATCTTCACAAATAACTTTAAAAACTTGTTGTTCATTTAACTTAACAAATAAATCTAATTTATGGGCAGAAAAAATAATAGCTTGTAATTTCAGAATTTATGCTTTGTTAAAATATCTCCATTTTATAAGGTTTTCCTTTGGTTTTAAATAATTTGTTGGCATTAGTGAATTGAATTATATTAATATTTATTTCTGTATAATTTACCCATTCTGTTTTTTTTTATTTAGTCTTAACATAAAAAGACAGAGACAAAATTCGATTGAACTTCCTTTTTTAGAGAGGTATGTCCGATGCGGAAAGGCCCGGCACCCTTTAAACTTTTGTCTGATCATTGACGACAAAGAAATCCGTCTTTTTATTCTTAAATATGTAATCCTCGCAGCTGAGAACAAAGTATGTACAGAGTGAACTCTGGAGAATGACGGCACATATTTCCCGTTCTAGAGTTCCTAAATTCAGAACATTTCTTGTATAACCCGGTTTTTAAAGTTCAAATTAAAATGTTTATTTTCTGTGACCCAAAGAAAATAGATAAAAAATGTCTTTTGAAATATTAAACGGCTTGTTAATCAAAATTAACCTGGGTTTCTGCGGATATAGGGTAATCACTCCGTCATCCTTCATCAGACAAAGGTCTAAAGGGTACTGCAGTTGTGAATCGGACATGCTCCTCTACAAATAGAGGGTCACTTGAAATTACGTCTACAGTCCCTTTAATTTACAAATTACTTGTCAAGATAATTTAAAAAACTGTTTGTTTAGATGAACCTGAGCGTGGGTTCTCCTTCTCCTCCTCCTCCTCTAGTTATGGGTCGAACCAACCGCTCATCATCTCTACTCTTTTCCCTACTCTGAGCTCAGCTTTCCTACCTATTCTTAGCTTTCTCTCCACCCTGAAAAATTGTCTCAATATCTTCGAATATCCATAAACATATCAATAAAGTTCTTTTCTTAAAAAATAATTTTAAAGAAAGGATTTAGTTTTTTTCTTATTTGTTTTTGTGTATTATTTGTTTACTGAGAAACCGTTAATCCACTGCGTATATTTGTTTTTACTCTTGGAATAAGAAGAAAAGATAAACAAAGAGCTGGAAAAAAATCCATTACGTTTGGAGTTGAATGAAAACTTAAGAAAGTCAAGGGTTAAAGGTAAAATGGGAAAAACCACTTACACTGTTCTTTTAGTACAGTGTAAACTCTGAAATAGGAAGATGTGATTCAAACTTAAAGGGAGTGTTCGTGAAAAATAAAAGGTGGGTATAGGCTTACGTCGAAAAATTATCGATGGTGATCGCTACTGATCTTACTTCTTTCTGTTGCGTCCATAAGGAGAAAATTGTTAAAAACTGTACGAATACCTAAGAACGTTGCGTCCTTACAAATTTAGAAAGTTGCAACATTCGACTCGGATCGTAAAAACTAAAAAGTCAATCTAGTCAATCTAAAAAGTCAATCAGTATACAGAAATAAATCTGGGGGCAAGGGGGAAAGTTGGACGAAGTACCAACTCCCCCCCCCTCCCTATAAGAGCTTCTAGTGGGGGGGGGGGCAAAATTTGAATCGTGCATTCAAAACATTTGGCTTCTTAGATACTTTATAGGTTCACATACAGTCCAATTACCTTGACAAGTACTACTTTATCTCTCTTTCAAGCAAAACTAGCAGAGGAAAACCGCAAATTAATTTTTTTTAATACTCTTTACTTTTCAATTTCAGATTTTAAAAGTGTGATAGCTCTGAGTTCTACAGGTCTAGGTGGACACTGCCCCCTTGCCCCCCCCCCATGTATACGCCCTCCTCTAATTATCGATAAGTTTTCGACGCATTCGTATACAGTTGATATTTCATAATATTTTTAATTTTTTTCATTGATTAATATTTCGCTTACAACTTGTTTTCACGGCTGGCGCCGGATTTTCGAACGTTCCTGGAAAACAGGGGCGTACGAGGGGGCCAAGCCCCCCCCCCTACGCGTGCCCCCTCTTAGGGGGGACTCATGGGGGTTTTTTTTAATATTACATCTTCCTCAGGCAATCTACATTCTACATTGCATTGCCATGCACTCACCCAAACTAAAAGATTAAGAAAACAATACTCATCAAAGCTTTGTCTGATCAAGTATTGCATAAAAACCCATGTTTCCCATTTTGAAAACTGAATATTTTTATTTGTGGTTTCTCTACAAAAGTGACTCGCGCATTTCTTGCTTCAGAAACGAATGAGAAATGAAGGTTTCAAAGGTACATCGGACATGCCACTCTATAAATGGAGGGTCACTTGAAATTACGAATGAATTCCATTTAAGTAAAATTACATCGTATAGAAAAAAGATACTTTAAAATCTCACTTTGCCCTTAACTAAAAATGTTTCATTAAAAAACTTTAATCAATACTGCCTTCAGTGTAAATATATATTTGAAATCATAATTTAAAATATGTATCAATCCTATGAAAATATAGATATTTTTTTAGAAACGTTTCCATCTATATTTTTCATCCCTTGAAGCTTACACCACAGTATTAAGAGGGATTGCCTGATTTTGTGCCNNNCACAATGTTGCCAAGAGGGGGGCACAACATTTTTTTCTGTGCAAAATGTGCCCCCCCCCTATACAAATGCTCTCGTACGCCCCTGCTGGAAAATATGAAAATGTCGTCTTCATTATCATTAATCCTCGAAACAGGAATGAATGTTTTCAAAAGTAAATCTCGGATCATGAAAAAAAATAAAAAATATTATGAAATTTTAACTTTATATGACTGCGTCGAAAAATTATCGATGACTATAGGTTGTAATATCTGAATGATTTGTTTGGAATTAAATTGATTTTTTACGATCTGATTCCAATATTGCAACTTTCTGAATTTGGATGGACGCAACGTTCTTCTGTATGAGTCGTTTTTAACAATGTTCTCCTTAAAGACGCAACAGATAGAGGTAAGATTAGTAGCGATCACCATCGATAAATTTTCGACATAAACCTATACTCCCTTTAAGTTATAACTATAAATAGTCCGATATGAACAGGATACATGAACAATAGTTTACCAGTATAGTTTGAAAATCATCTTTTAAAGTGTTTCATGTTCATATTATAATTCAAATCATTACTTGAGCCTAACAGTCGTCTTCCTATTCTACAGTTTTAGGGAGATCGCTGTATTTGTGTAATTATGAAAAGCTTTTCATCTTGGAAACAGAAAATACTTTTACATCCTTTGTAAAAAGAATTAAAAGTTAAGAACCAAATTAATTAAAAGTTTTTGAGATATATTAAAAGAAATGCACCAAGAGAAAGTTTCTTAATGTTATATTCGAAGGGTTATTTTTCTTCAATTTATTCAAAATAATTTCTTGTCAATGATGTTTTATCACTTTCTGAGCAACATTATTAACCTTGTCCGTCCTAGTTAAAAAAACTTTTAATTTAGATTTTACACATTGAAAGATAATTCAGTTCACAAATGTACAGTTTAACTATTTAACGCGGGGTACTTTTTTCGTCGGATGATGGCTCGTTGTTCTCGTCAAAAACTTACTATTCCAAATTCTTTCATTAATCCATGATTTTTTCATTCGAATACTTTTATTCATTAGAATACCTAGCTTTTTCATTCGAATACTTTTATTCATTAGAATACCAAGCTTCATTCATTCGGATACTTTTATTTATTAGAATAACTTCATGCTGCACCCTGTTTAGCTTGAGTGCTTCTTGTACACGGTAATGTAAGACGGGATGCTAATATAAATGCGCGGATAAAAAACGTTTCCCCCCCCCCTCCCCTCTCTCTCCTTAAAAAACCTTAAACGTTGAGTTCTATATATTGTATATGTGTATTAAAAATACTATATTGAAGGCAGAAAATTCAACCTTGGGATCGTCGTATCTTAAGACTTTCAAGAGTTTCATGTTGTGGGAAACCTTGTTTAATCATACAATCCCTCTAAATACTTTTATCTTTAATCATAAGAATTATATTACTCACAAATTGTCAATAAATTATCAAAGAGTGCACATACAACTGAAAAATATCTCCTTTAAATCGTGTACCTTAGAAATTTTGTCTCAGAAATCGGAGCAAACTTTCTGAAAATAATTTTTATTTAAAACATGCAAGAATTTCACTTTTAGTCTCAAAAATAGCTTGACACAGTGTTTAAAGTAACACTAAATGTTCAATGTTCTATGTTCATGTTTAAGTTTCTGCTTTTTCACCTCCTTAAAAGTCCTGAATTCTTCACGCTCCACTATTTGATTACAGAGGGAGAATTTATGCAACATTACTGGTACAACTTTGTGACGTCATAACTCCTTAAGTCTTGATTTTACGTGCATCATTATACACCCAGCTTTGCCTGGAAGCTTAACTTTTGCTCTAAAGGTGAACCCTCACAATTAGATAATGACAATGATCAAACAGCTGGACAAACATATTTTAAGAAACACTTCCAAATCTCAGTTTTATTTTTTTTGGCTTACCTCCAGAAATTATAAGATTCAAATTGAAGCTAGACCACATTTTGGAAAGCTCACCAGACTCACAACCTTACAGAGTCCTCTCTGTAATTAATCAAGTATTGGAAATAAAGGACTTTTCAATTTGATGCTATTAGTAAACCCTGCAAGATATTTGGCGCTCAGAGTGAATATCGTCTTCTGTTTGCTTGTATATAAGATCAGATTTTGGACGAATTTGGAGTAATACCATCATCACATCAGTACATTAGGTTATCTTTGAAGTAGTTTACTTGGTTTGCAATATACATCTTAATTAATTTGTACCTTTTCAATTATAGTTATCATGTCAACGTATTTTCAGTCGATAAAGAAGGATCATAACTATTCCCTGCCGGTCTCTTCTCAGGAAATAATTCAGCTTCCCAAACTCCTGTAGAGCTTTGGAAGAAAGTTGGGAAAAAACCGGAAATCGTCTGTACAATCTTCAGATCCATACCGCCCGGCGATAAGAACATTTGCACTGACTCTGCACCTTTACTCGACGCAAGCCTACAGGTTAATTAATAACAGTTTCATATTCATGTTTATCTATTACTATTCAGTAATCTTTGGATATATGGTATACATGATCTCCTTAACCTCTACGAGATTGACCAAATTTATTCTACTGCAAAACCAGTAAATAATTTACGAAAAAAAAGTTATACTAACCGAGATCCACACACCCCTGAGTTGGAAAAAAGTCTCAAACAACTAAACTTGTTATGCTGAATAGAGCAAATATTCTGAATAATTTTAAACCCTTCTGAACGGACTCTGGTAAGTGACCCATCATTTGAAAAGGAGATGACCAATTCACAACGATACTCTTTAAACCAGTAATGATCAATAATGTTGAAGAAATAGTCGTATGTTTGATTCTGACCATTTCCTCCATTGTTTTAAATGTATAAACTCCGCATGTCACTTTTCAGAGAAAAAACAGTTATAACAATCTATTTTCAACGAGAAAATTATGGATATCATACATTCCGAAACAATATAGATTTTACAGGTACCATTGTGTATTTCCATAAACGGTAAATTAAAATTAAATATCTACAGTCCTTTTAAGTCTTCTTTATTGTAAACCAATCAAATATCTACAGTCTGTTCAAGTTTTCTTTATTGTAAACCAATTAAATTTCTACAGTCCCTTTAAGTTTTCTTTATTGTAAACCAATTAAATATCTAAAGTCCTTTTAAGTTTTCTTCATTGTAAACCAATTAAATATCTACAGTCCCTTTAAGTTTTCTTTATTGTAAACCAATTAAATATATACAGTCTCTTTAAGTCTTCTTTATTGTAAACCAATTAAATATATGCAGTCCCTTTAAGTTTTCTTTATTGTAAACCAATTAAATATCTACAGTCACTTAAAGTTTTCCTTATTGTATAACAATTTCTGTTTAAAGGGACTGTAAAAGAAAAATGAAAGGGGGTATAGACTGAAAGCTAATCACTTTACCTCTTTATCGCAACCCACGAAAGTTATTTCTGATATATCTGTCTCGAGAAATTGATATAAAACGGTGTCAAAGGAATTGAGTTTTTGCCACAGACTGAGATTTTCTAATTCTTATAACTTAGCAACCCGTTTTCCTAGACCTTTGATATTTAAAACTATTAATTTTGGCGGGTCAAATAGGCTAAGTTTGAAATATCAAAGGTTTACACTACCAGGTTGCAAAGATATAGGGGTTGAAAATTTATGTTTGTTGCAAAAACTCAATTCCTTTATACGAAAATTCATATATATACAATTTTTAAAATCTGAAACTTAAATCATGTGACCAGAACTCCCTCCAAAGGCAGTGCAGTATACTGGTCACATATCTCCCTCTGTATCACGTGACCAGTATACTGCACTGCCATTGGTGGAAGTTCTGGTGACGTCTTACCGACGTATAAATAATATTATCTATTATATGTATCTATTAAAATGAACATAAAGATTATAAAATTATAATTGGCTCACAATTAGCTTTCTCTGGGAGTACATGGGCAAGAGCGTATACAGAAATAAATGTAGGGGGGGCAAGATTTGCGCGAAGCGCCAAAAAATTTTTTGCCCCCCCCTAGCATGAGCACTGCACTGTAATTATATATATTTTAAAATTTTGATTTTTTATAATAATCATGAAAAGCAAACTTATTTTTTTTGTGTTCTTCACTCTTCAGTTAAGATTTGAAAAGTGTGAAAGGCTTGCAGAATTCTAGGGGGGGGCTACGCCCCCCCTTTACAAGTCTAGGGGGCACTGCCCCCCATTCCCCCCCTGTATACGCCCTTGTACATGGGTACTGGAATAGGGTAAGGTAGTCATACGATTTGGAATCCAGTACCCTACCTAAGTCACAACACCCGTAACCGCTAATGTTCTCTACTCTGCTCTGTCCATAGGTACTGGAATATGATGTTAGAGGGTACCAATCAAAGAGAATAGAATATATTAGAGTGGAATTTAGTCAAAAAAAAAGGTGTAAATCGGCCATTTTGTTGTGCTGGTTCCATACTGCAGGTGTACTTCACATATTTGTGCTATATAACCTTTTGGGCTCTGGAACATCATTTTATAGAAAACTTTTCTTGAAAATCATTTGATTTTCTCTAAATCAATTCAATTCTCTGATCGCCTGTCATGCATTTCCGAAGTTTTTATTTAGTGAAAAACATATCTTTTAATTTGAAGTAATCAAATAGTTAAGCCAATATTCTTGAAATACGCAAGATACCAAAATATTAAAATTAAGGATAAGGAAGGTAAATGATTATGAACTCTTTAATTTCAAATTCATAACTTTTATAAATTGGGACTCAGTGCGATATTTGCACTAAGAAATGTAAAACACATCCTTCCTTTGAAAATTAGAAAATTTATATATGATAGGCTTATTAAAAGTCAACTAGAGTATGGTATTTTATTTTGGGGTCCGTCAGTAATTAGTAAATTAGGTAAATTATCTACTCTTCAGAAAAAAGCTCTACGAGTTCTAGCAGATAAAGGTTATGCTGCACACACAGATCCACTTTTTCTGAAACTTGAAATTCTAAAAGTAAAAGACATGATCAAATTTAATTCTGCTGTTTTTATGTTTAAATATATGATTGGCAAACTTCAATCATCTTTTAATGGAATGTTTATGGCAATAGCAGAACCAAATAGAACAAAAAGTTATAAATTAGAATTAGTTAACAATAAATATCTAGAAAGTTTTCCTACGGTTTTTCTTCCAAGGACCAGGAACTCTATTCCATTGGAAATAAAATCTTTAGGCACCCTAGCAAGTTTTAAAACAAGTCTTAAAAAAATTTTCTTGAAGAATGTAGTAATTTTCGGTGTATAAATCGAAATTGCTTTTCTTGATAAAACTTGATTCTATCCCTTTTTCCCCTGTTATTATAACAAAACAAAATAAAAAATAAACATTATAAACTTTGTGTGCTGGGTTTTCCCCGCCCCCCCCTACGATCCTTTCTTCTTCTTTTCCTCTCTATTATTTAATACCTTTCCTCTATCTACTACTTTTCCTTTAGTTCTAAATTGTCTTTGTTATATTTGGTTTTATTTAAATTAAACATGTATGTATCGCGGCAGAAGGGCCTCTCAACCTCTCAACCAACAATGGTTAGAGAGGCCCTGGCTACATTAAAATGTAAAAACTGTGCAATTGTTTTTATTGAATATTTAGTCAAATTTATATCTTTCTATCTATCTATCATCTGACAAGGATGGGGGGGAGTGAAAAAAATGTTATTCCCCCCCCCCCTCCTGGCTTAATCCTGAAATCCCCTTTCTAAAGTCGTCTTCTAATTGTTTTGCTTTTTGGGACAGCCAGTATGTGATCTGCATTGATTTACGAAAATCATCCAAATTTTGAGAAAAATATTTTTTGTCAAAATTGAAACCCTTATTACTTTTTGTTTGTTTTTGTTTTATAACGACATACAAAGAGAAAATGATCACAATTAAATTAAAAGCCTAAAAAAAAAAATTAAAACAAGATATTAATTGCAGTATAGAAAAGAGTCGGATGCAAAAAAAACAATTCTTTATTTCATTCACTTTACAAACGACGATTTTTGCCTTTAAATGTTTAATTAAATAATGATTTTAATTCACCTTTAGCAAATACACACGTTGACGTTTAAAGTTATTTAACAACTTAATAAAACAAAGAAATTAGAACGGGTATGTCCAGGGATCATACTGTATTAGGAGCCAGAAAAAAAGTCCTAGGAAATAAAGTCTCGAATTGATAGGACTTTATTTCCGGAGACTTTTTAATAAAAAGACTTTTTTCCACAGAACTTTTTTAGTGTTAGGACTTTTTTCCAAGGACTTTTTTAGTGTAAAATTTTAGGACTTTTTTCCAAGGACTTTCCGCCTATACCCACTTTCATTTTTCCTTTACAGTCCCTTTAAGCGAAAACAATATTTTCAGAAAACCCCCCACGTACTGTAATATACAGATTGACCTTTGACAGTGGAGTACTGCACGGCCTTTACAATTAGTAAAGGATTAGTGTACATCCTCGACTCTATAAAAGCTTTAACCTCGTTGATTAAAAAAGACTTAAATCTATTCATCTATATACGTAATATATATGTTTGTATGCATAATGTATCTTTTTACTCATCATTTATCTACACTATCTATCTATCTATCTATCTATATATCTATCTATCTATCTATCTATCTATCTATCTATCTATCTATCTATCTATCTATCTATCTATCTATCTATCTACTGTCTGTCTATCTATCTATCTAACAGAAGTTTTAATGCATAAAAAGCGTCTTCGGACTTTTCGACAGATAGCCCCCCGAATAGGAAAATAGATCGTAAGAATCTTTTCATTATAAATTTGTAAACCCTGTAATAATTATTTATCATCATTCATTTCGTTATTTTTTTTAGGAAATAAAGAGTTTTCTGCATTATCGATTTTGATTCGTGGGTTATACCTTGTCTAACTGTTCATCGTCAGAATCTTGTTTCTTAGCGACAACAATAATATATCTAAAATATATTCTCGACTAGTCCTACATAACGCTGTATTCTAGAGTTCTATGTTTACTGTATTCAGATATTCCTCCTACGTATATTTTCTTGCGTTCATTCTTCTGGGAGATTTGCGTTCAGATAGCGCTTTGTAAGCGCGAACTCAGATGATCCACAGATAAACAAAAGGCTGAAATGCGCAAAATACAACATCTAAAAATATTGTTCACATTTTCATAAAACTCTTTTGTCCGTTTTTGAAATACATCTTATTTTACTCCAATATCTGTAAGTTAAAGTATCTAAAGTATATTCCCCCCTGTATATAGTTGTGTTGAGTGCAGACAGTACGGTTACTTCAGGTCTAGGGTTTACAGTGTATACAGGACGGATACCGTGTTCACAAAGGAGAATACTAGATCCAACTTCCTTCTCGCGCTCAGAGTTAATATTTCATAAATTCAGTCCAACCGTTGCAAGCACAATGAGCGGAACTCCGAGCTGGTACTGACCGGAAGTATATTTGTGAAACAAGGTTATTAAATACACTGTGTACTGTGTACTAGTGTTTTATGTTTGAAAGTACGGAGCGAGGTCGAGTGAGAACCTCCTTTCATATAGTTCTCCCCGCCCTCATTCTATAGCTCTAGTTCTCTAGTCCCTCCAGATCTAGTATAGTAGTGAGACCTGCTCCGGGATACAGGAACCATGGAGGAGCAGCTAGAAGCAGCAATCCTTCAGAACTTCTGGTTAGTTCAAGCAGATAAACATGGTCAGCATCTTCTAGCCTCACTTCCAACCATAGCTGGAGCTAATCCTCACTTGAACCAGGTTATAGTATATACCTTTCTTTATACTCTTACTCTTAAACGTTTACGCATTTGATCCATCGATTTTTTGTTCATGTTTTATCCATATATATATATTTATAATCAAATATATAGCTTGAAGTAAATACAAAATTTATATTAATAATAAGTAATACTATATATATGAAAATTGATTATAAAGTTTCTAGTATACAGTGTTTGATTGTGGCCTAGTTTTAAAGGATATCCTATAACGGTGCTATGGAAACGCCTCAACACGGAAACGTCTCAACACGGAAATGCCTCAAAAAAAAGCAGAAACCCCTCAAAAACCGGTTTTTTTGAGACGTTTCCGCAATTTCTGCAAGAAAAACGGAAATCCCTCAAAACCCAGTTTTTGAGGGGTTTCCTCTTTATTTTGAGGCGTTTCCTAAAATTTTTGAGGGGTTTCCGCTTTTCACCTGACAATTATTTTTGAGGAATTTCCCAATATTTTTGAGGGATTTCCCAATATTTTTGAGGCATTTCCGCAAAATTTTTGAGGCGTTTCCGTATTTTAAAAACTTGATTTAGTTGAGGTGTTTCCTCTTTTTTTTGAGGCGTTTCCGCAAA